GCATTGTAATACTTCGTCCACGTGTATAACAACCATCGTCGTTCATTCAACTACCTTTATTTCGTCCTCGCCACCCGCCGCCCCTCGCTCGCTCTTTTTCCTCTACTTAACGAGAGTCGAGTGTTCTCCACGATACGAGGGAAGGGAATTAAACACCCGACCCCTCCCCCCCCCTGCCAGCCCGAATATATCCTGAATTTAGCGCTGCGGACGTGAACGATAAAATGAGAAAATTAGAAACGCGTATTGAGAAATTTGCCGGCGAGCAAAACCAATTGGAACAAATAACTTGTCACGCTGTGTGGCAGACAACAGCTGATCCTCCCCCTCAGTAGCTTTTCCCGATGGGGGGAGGGGGAGTGGTGAGAGACGGAGTCGAAGGAAAACGAGTGGAAAATCGAGAGACGAACGAGAATTGCTTCATGACAAATCACGGCAGATAGGGATATACAACTCTGGCTTTTCTCTCTAAGATCCCTCTGTGCTCTCTTGTTCTCAGCGGACTCACCAATTTCGCTGAGGAAGTATGAAATAGAGATGATGATTGCGGTGAGTCAATAGCAACCGGGAATATTCAATCGTGTTCGGTAAAAAAATGTTCGCGGAGGGAAGACTGGGATTAAAGAGGTGGAATGAATCAGATGGGGTTGCTAACTTCTGCGAAAAAGAGTTTTGCCACTGCCCAGGGCGCGAAAAATTGTTCCCAGCAATTACTGCCGGCCTATTTGATCGGGGGAATTGATGCTCAATTGCAGCTGCCGGAATTCACCTGTAGATTTTTTTGCAGGATTGGGGAAAAGTGAAAGGCATTTCTGCATAAGGAGAGGATTTTTTTTTTGCTTTCGGGGAATCTTGAACTGGAATTTATCGTTTTCGTTAATTTTCTCATCAAATTGTCAATTATCAATGACGAAATTTATTGAAATTTCGGGGGAGGGGTCACAAGATGAAAATTTTTTAATAATTCCAACGCGCATAATAATTTCAATGACTTAAATTATGACTTTTCTCTCTAATATCCGTCTGTTCTCTCTTTTTTTCAGCGGATTCACCAATTTCGCTGAGGATGTAGGAAATGCGGAGGAATGGTGATTGCGGTGAGTCAATAGCAACCATAAATATTCAATCGTGTTTGGTAAAAAAATTTTTGCGGCGGGAAATCTGGGATTAAAGAGGTGGAGGCGTGAAAAATTGTTTCCAGCAATTATTGCCGGGCTCTATGCAGGATTGGGGAAAAGTAAAAGGAATTTCTGCGTAAGGAAAGCATTTTTTTGCTTTCGGGGAATCTTGAACCGGAATTCATAGTTTTCGCTGATTTTATCATCAAATTGTGAAATGAAATGATGTCACATGATTCATTGAAATTTTTAGGGAACTGTCACTAGATGGAAAATTTTCATTTGAATTTTGCGCGTCGAATTCCAGAAATTTTAATCGTGTTTAAGTTCCACTGAAATTTCAGGAAATCTTGTCGTTCAAAAATCAAATATTTCATTAATTCTGCGTTCAAATGATCTGGGAATCAATAAAATACTTGATTTTGGGTTCAATTGTTCTGTGAAAATTCAGAAAAATCAGGAAAATTCATGTCATTTTGTTTCTGAATATTCATGTTCCACCGAAAATTCGATTCAATGTCACTCTCATGAGATTTACTACAATATCGTCCATGAAATTTCAAAAAAAATCTAGTGTAGTGCAGGACACTCCAATTCGCATGATAATTAGAACGTTATCATGACAGAATCAGAATTAGAAAACGATTGTATACCAAGAGGCTCCGTTAACCCTTATTAATGACGCTAATAACTCGACAATACCGGTGTTCTCGGCCAAGTACAACCACAGTTAATGGCAGAAACGTATGACCGGCCATTTCCGGGGCTTCTGGAACAGACAGTTGCCCTTTAATTATGAAGCGATTCCCGTACATCCAGGGATTCCGGCTGGCGATCGAGCGAATGCCGACTGAATAAGGCACGCATTCCCCCGAAAATAATAACGTTTCATCACCTGTTTTTGCCATCCAAATCCCACCTGCGTATTTCTTCGCGAATTTCCGGCTTTGAAGAATGGATATCGAGGGGATATCCGCCAACATAATTGATTATATTTGCGACTGTTGCCCCAGGGATAATCAAATTTCAATGAGTCGCGCGAGAGAGGAGGGGGTGAACAATGGCGCACAGTCGGCACTATGAATGTGGTTGAATGCGAAAATTGATGGAATTAATGTGGCCGAGTGGAATATATACGTATGTCCACAAAGTGTGTACACAACCGGGGCGGTACTTGTAATCAAGTTGGGTTTCTCGATCCGAAATAACTATCCCTCAGAATATTTGCGTTTTACTCGTATCCAGTATCATGCTTGGATTAATTAATTTGTAAAATGTCCTTGGCATGTTTGTTGGGTACATTTACTTTGATGATTTGTTGGTGCACATCGAGGGGCTATTGACTCCTGAAATCATCCCTGAAGTCAGGAATTTTATTTTTCATTGATTCATGATATTTTTTTTATCTCTTTGTATTACAAAAATCTTAATTGAGTTCCGGTGAGGAAAATTTGGCAGTCGAAATTACGACTCTACAGTTGATGATCACAAGGGTCAAAATAATGGCCATGAGGGTCGGAATAAGGGTCATAAGGGTCACAAGGTCACAAGGTCAATTTTTTATGCCCCTGACAAAGTTTAATCACTTCATTATCCATTTGACGATGGAGATTATGCTCGTCTCAGTTGAAAAGGGGGATTCCCAGGGGAGTTGGATTGTTGGACCGATGTTGCCAACTTCGAATTACGAGTTTCCAACAACAATAAAGTATGAACACAACTGCCTTTGCTGAGGTGGCACACCAGCCGCTTTCCACCCACGCAGCCTGAATTTACAGCGCAATGTACTTCGGATTTACTCAGTAAAGTGTCGTAAGACGCCTGCTTAGCGGGCCTCTTTCAATTTGCAAGACGGGGAAGTTTTTCTACTACCGGCGGCTTCCATTTTCCCCCTTTTTCATTTATTCTTTTAGCCAAGTTATTTGTAGATGGTAAATTCACTCTGCATTTTTGTCGTGCTTCCGTCAATTTTGGCGTCCATATGCATCCGGGAATTAATTATTTTCGTCAGGATTAATTGTCCCGCAATTATTTTCAAGAAATTCAATTAATTCCGATTTTTTCATGCGCATAAAAAAAATCGAAATCGTCTTTTTTAAGACGTGTGTCCCCAAAATTGAGGCATTTTTGATGTCTTAAATTAAGACAAGTATTCTAGACGTTCTGGTTGTGTCACTCGAGGATCTTAAAACTATTGTTTCAAACTATTTTTATTTTTCTATTCAAACTTCACAAAAAAATAGTAAATTAATTTCACAAGTAATTTGTATCAAAAAACACTCTCATCCAGAGCAATCTCACTGTTATCAAATATTCATACAGATCGATGGAGAGACTCCGTGCAATTGTGTTAGCCATTGGTGGACGTCAAATCAGTCGTCAAATTGCAAAAGCAATATTCAAATTCGTCGTGTGTTGACAAACGGATTTACATATTTGGTGCGTCACGAGATCGATCGATTAACCGAACAATTGCCGCGTAGAGTGGGAGAATCAGAGAGTTTCGATGGACAGAATGCTTTGTTCACTCTCAGCGCTGTACATCCGGAACTCTGATTTTTTCCCAGGGCACGAAATATTCATAGGCATTTCGAGTTTGATGACACAGAGCTCTAGAATTTCATGGGGGACGAGCTGTCGAGTGATTTACAGAGACAAATTTGGGGGTTTCAAGGCCTTTTGAATGGACTAGTAAAACAGGTGGGGATGAATTCCCCTCTTCATGACGACATTTTTAAGGGAGAAGAAAGAAGCGGGAAACTTGGGGAATTGCTATGGGATACGGAAGATATCAAAAGAGAATAGTTTACAATATGCGGAGATGCGGTAACGCGGGGGAGAAAAGGGAAATATTGTCCATAAAGTGGCGGTATAACCGTAGAAGTTGATAAGTTTCTCGTATAAACGCTGGAACCTTTATGTATGGAAATGGCCGTTGCGTCAATCTCCAATGTCGATATGTGTAGCTGGAACTTTTATCGTAATGTCGATTCTTTCGAAATTCTGCGGCGTGAGGGATGGGTTATGTCATGAATATTTACCGGAGTGAGCGATCCTGTGATTTCTGAAGAAATAGGGCACTTTATTGTGCTTTTGCGCGTGATTACAGCGCTGATTTTAGTGATTTCGAGACGTGATCTCAGACTGCTGCCAAAATGGTCGTTTCAAATGGTAAAAATCTGCTGTTCACAAGAGACAGAAATCGCCTAATGATCCCAGGGACATTCCAGTGAATCCTGTCACAATCTCGATGATGCGTCAACACTCAGGTTTGATTGAGAACCCGGAATACCCTTCCTAGACACACGGAAGCAGCCCCACGGGTCGCAGGAAGTAATCATAAATTCGTGATTCCTGTCGCAGTTTGAGAGCTGTTTACTGTCTTGAGGACTGTTAATTCACCGATTTCCCCCCGAGAAGTGGTGACAGGCAGGGACGCCAGAAATGACAGGGATCTTCCTATAAGAAGTACAACACTTCCATAGTCAATCAGTCCTGGGGAAGGCGCCGTCAAGATAATCAGTTTTACTTAACCGAATATCTCCTAGTGAAATTATTACTTGGTGACTAGACGTTGTTAGAAAGTTTTTGCACTTATAAGTTTCTAACCCATTATAGTTCAACATTCCAAATTTTCCTGGAAAAATCGAGGAAAACGAAATTTTAGCTCAATTATTCATTGAAAATTGGCAGAAATTAGGAAAATTCTGGTAAATATATTCGAAAATTGGTACTAAATGCTTCTATTTTTCATTAAAACCCAAAGTCGCTTGGGAATTTTTTTTTGCTGTTTAAAAATGGAGAATTTAAAAAAAAAATCCGTGAAATCTGAAACTCCATGATTTTTTCTCCTAAATCACAATAATTTTTGAAATAAGAAACATGGAGCTTCCCGTCGCGGTAATTCTGAGTTTTATTACTGCCTACTGGTCAACCTTGACTACTGGACACGTACACATCACTTATTACGGATCTTTGATTGATGAATTCTACAAGATTCATGACGCTGATGGGATCCTCATCGTGTCGAGTACCAATTATCATTGTGAGTACGACCAACTAGACTAGATGTAGTTAACAACTCCATTTTTGGTCATAAAAATCTCGTAAATTACAACGCGCAAATTAATGGAACAACTCGAGAAAGTGAAGGCACAGATAAGAATCTAACGAACAATTGCAGCTTTTGGAAGTCTCACATTCTGGCACGAGATGTCGAGAAAAATGTCCAACCGCGGAAGAGCAGCGGACATGGTCAATTTCCAGGAATTAACACCAACATTGCAGTTGTATCGCAGGCAGAATGTCCGTCCACTGTTCGTAATTTTCATCAAAAACATGAAGGAAGTGCATTTTTTCGGGCGAATCACGAAGACCCTGAACCGGAGCAACAGCCTATGGGTGATTCTGTTCTCTGGAGACAGCAGCGGAGACGCCTGTGAATTTTGCCGTCATCCGGAGGGCAACCTGTTCAATTTAAAATTCAACTCGAAAGTGATTGTTGCGTGCTGCGAGTCAACCATTATCCAGGAGTGGTGGACAAGCACTGGTAATCGTACTCATATAGGAGAGCTGGGGCGGTGGATTGACGAGAGTCGTGGCATTGAGTGGTTCTCCGACAAGTCTCTTTACGAACGGAGGACTTCTCTCGAAGGTCGACCTTTCCACATCAATATTGTGCAAGTAAATCATTGAATAAATGATGATTATTGATGTTGATTACACACCCGGGGAGAACTATTTGTTGAATTTCAACAGCTAGTTGACGGAATGAATGAAAAACCATCACCTGATCTGACATTTTTCCTAGGGATCAACCGACATCTGGCAAAAAAACGGTGATCTCCATGGATATTTGGGAAGAGTCGTGAAAGCTCTATCTCAATTCATGAATTTTACCATTTCATCTGTAACAATTGAGCGCTCCTACGGCCGTTGGGATCCGGACGCTTCAGAATGGACCGGTGTTCTTGGGAAACTCCACCGGAACGAAGTCGACATGGGGGTATCCTCATTCATCATGACTAATGAACGACGAGAAGTCGTCGACTTTACAATTCCCACTGTATACGAGAATTCCCGGTTGTACATTCGGATGCCTGGAGCGAACACCGTGCAATGGAACGCCTACTTTGAGGTTGGCCACTTTATTAAAAGGGTCTTAAGCTCATCAGGTTTTCCAGCATGTCCACCATTCCGCACCATTCTTTCTCAATTTATTTTTTTTCGATTGGTATTTCCCAAAGTTGATGTCTTTGCAGGCGTTTGGGATGGACGTCTGGCTGGTGATAATCGCTTTGATCATGACGACACCTCTTCTCCTGACGTTCATCAAGTACAAAGGAAGATCCTTCATTTTCCCCCTCGTCTTCGAGCATTACTCGTCTGTTTGGGGTATTTACTGTCAGCAAGGACTGCCAGGTGAGCGGAAAAACCGTGATAACTTGAAGTTTACAGGAAGAATCTTTTTCCGCAGAATTTCCTGATGAGACACCTTTGAGGATTGTCTTCATATCCCTATCCCTGTCGGCGCTGGTCATCACCATGGCCTACTCTGCGTCTCTAACCAGCTTTCTCGCAGTTAACGTTTCACACATGCCGTTCACTTCGATAGAAGAATTTGTCAAACTTGGGACTTATAAGTTGATAGCCATACAGGACACTGCGGATTATACGTTGTTCAAGGTGATTTCTTAATTTGGAATTAGTCAGGTCTAGATTGAGATGGATTGGTTCAACCTTTGTCTTAGGATTCAGACGAAGTACTCATGAAGAAAATGGCTGCGCTCATGGAGCCCCCGGGATTTCTGCCAGCAACTCATCACGAAGGGTTCCAACAGGTTATTAAAAGTCATCAATGATGACAATTTCACCAAAAAGTTTGACCTTCTACATTACCTCAACAGGTATGTCGAAAGAGCGTGGCATTCCACACAACCCACGAGATTCGAGAAGGATACACGAGTCCTTTCATCCCCTGTAAACTCGCCTGGATCAAGACCAGAAAAATCCAAGCGTCAGGAATCATCATGCCCCTTAACAGCGAGTACACAGCATTCGTGAATTACCAGTAAGTGAAAAATCGAGGTCAATATTGAAAACTGAATAATTGAAATAAATTCTGTTGTCAAGTCTTCAGCGATTTAAATACAGTGGATTGCTTGATCGATGGAAACGAGAGTATCATTATCGGATAAAGGATGTTCCCGAGATCTATCATCCGTCCGTGCAGCTCAAGGGAATAACGCCGATCTTAGGTGTTTTGACAGCAGGATTATTGATTGCCCTCATTATTCTCTTAATAGAACGGATTTTTCATCGTCACAGAGATCAGTTACAGCGCAAGAAAATACGAACATCGGAGGTGGAAATGTTGCAACGCATGCTTTCCCGTCCTCAGAGCTCCCCCTCCTGGTCACGCGATTCCAACGATTTTCGCACAATTTATCGAAACCGTCAGAAGAAACTAGCGCAAGCGTGGATAATAAATTTTGAATAAACTATTAATTACACATTTTAACCAAAGAAGCCTTTGAAATTATCCTATTTATAATGTTGAATAAAATCCTTTCGCCCACAAAGAAACTTTTCAAATGATCTGCTATGCAATAACAACCTTTAAACCGTATCAATCGGCCAATTATTCCAGTACTGATCGCACATTTTTAATGTTATATTCAATGAAAAATCACCTTTGGAAAACATATCATTCAAACGCAAAATACGTTGATGTTTACTATTGTCAAGCGAAATTGCGATAAACAATGTGGTTCATGTTCGAGCGTAACACCAACCGTATGCAGTAGTGCTTATCGATATCAGTGACGCACAGTGGAAGGATTAAAATACACCGTTGGAGCCTCTGTTAAGGCTCGCTCGCCTGGATACTGATACCTAATTTCTGGAACATCATTCCCACTGCTGATAACGCTTTCATCCTACATCACCCTCAGTGATCGAAATATGTCATCTTCCGTGCACAGGTACTCATGAATAATCCGGTTAATGTAATCATTGAGAACGAAGAAACAGTGCCGAGGAAATTTGGTGAATCCCGTTCGATGAGACATGATCAATTTTGAATCGAGTTCAGACCGTGAAGGTGAAATATTTCTGCTTCGACTGTTTTCATGTCATGAGCCATGTGGAGACACCCGCGAGTCTACCTATCGCCATTCGCATATCAGTAAGTGGCTCTCCGTCAAACGAACGTCAAGTTAACAGCAGAAACAAAGAAAAAAGTAATGAAGGCGGTGCATTCACAATACCTGATTGCTCTGATAGGTAATTTAGTGCTCGAGATTTTTTGTACTCTTCAATTGCTCAGGTATGAAACCTTTCCAGCGAGCTCAGTGATGATTCCATATGGTCAGTCAGATGCTTGGCTGATGGTGGCCATCCCCGCGCTGCAGAACAAGCAGAATCACCTGAATTTGACTTCTGACCAAGTGGGATGGATAGCCAGTACGACGTCAATCTTCATCATAGCAGGCTCCATCGTATCGAAATACTTGATGGACATCATTGGCCGGCGAAACAGCCTCATCCTAGCGATGTTCCCAATCACCTGCGCTTATATAGTGATGGGCTTCAACACATTCGAAGCCTTCGTCATAGGAAGAGCCCTCGTAGGGTTATCACTTGGGTTTTCACCGATTCTATCACTCTATTTCGGGGAAATTGCGAGTGATGAAGTTCGCGGGAGGGTAAATTTTGTAGCGATCATCGTGGAAAGTGTCAGTACCCTGCCGGTCCTGCTAGCCAGTCCGTTCTGGAACCTTCATACGTTGAACTTCTATCTTCTTATTCCGTCGATGATCGTCGCATTCCTTCTGTGGATGATACCCGAGAGTCCCTACTTCTACCTGATGAAAGGTGAGTTCATTGATCGATATGAATCGATATGAATCGTTGAATCGATATGAATCCTTGATCGATTTCCTCGAAAAATTCATAGGAGACGCCGTGAGAGCAGAGAGAGCTCTTGAGTGCATTCGCGAAGCGAGAGAGGTTCCCAAGGATCTAGTGTCTATCCAAAATTACGTGAACGCGAAGATGGAGAGTGAAAGTAGCTTTGCACTTCTGTGGAAGAATCGCAGGAGCAGCCGAGCCTTCGCCATCCACCTTTGGCTCTTGATGTACCTCCACCTGAGCGGAACGTCAGTCATCAAAAACTATGCTGGTGTTCTCTTTGAGAAAGCTGACCTGCCCTTGGATGCAAACGTTGAAATAGCCATCACAATGGTCATTACGATCATTGTATGCTGCGTGGCAGCACTGTTTGTAGACAATTTGGGGAGAAGATCACTGCTGTTTTTGGCAAGTATTCCCATGATCATTGGCATGTTGATAGCGACTGTATTCTACGTCTTCAAGGAGACGAATCGTGATGTCTCTCACTTTTCGTGGATCCCATGGACAGCTGTACTCTTGATCAATGTGTCGAAGTCAGCGGGTCTGCAACCGCTGAAACATATTCTGATGTCTGAGTACTATCCTTTGAATACTAAAGCAACAGCGGTGTCTCTGATTCACATGGCCGAAGCTCTAGTGGAGGCGATTGTTGTGAAACTTTTTCAGGAATCTACAGACCTCATGGGCTTTGGCTCTGTATTTTTTATCTGTCTGTTAATTTACGTAATTGGTACAACCGTCATGTACTTCATCATGCCAGAGACTAAGAATTTATGTTTCGCGGAGATTGAAAGGGTCTTCGAGCGGCAATCCAAATAAATCTCTAGTTTAATAACATTTTGCGAACATTGCTCGCTTATTCATCAACGCAGCTCTATCGCTGTATTCGTTGTTCTCATTTATTATGCAACAAGAGTATAGAAAGTAGAATGAAGAATGGGTACAGGGAGAAGTGTTATGAGCCCGGTGAGAGCATACAGCTCGAATTCTCAATGCGCCTTGGCCCTAGTGAGACACCGTTCGCGTGGAATCTTATTGAAAGGCGAGATAGGGACGGTAGACTTTTCCTTTCCACGCTTGCTTGAGCTCTCTCACCCTCTCTCGTGCACACACCTCAGGGGTCTTATTTCTTTTCTCGTCGCCACCTACACCTTTTTTTCTTCTTTCCTCCCACCGCTTCCTTTCTTTTCAATCTCTTTACTCTTTTTGCCAACGTCGCCTGCTACTTATTTCACATTTTCTTTATTTTCCTGTTTTCATTTTTCTCTCACTTTCCCCGCCTACCCCCTGTCCTTTTGCCTCGCTGTAATTTTTTTCTGCAAACCTTACCAACTCCGTGTGACACCGCATCAAAGATTTACCGCGTGAAAATATCGGTCTTTCCTGGGCTGCATGGGTGGCACACGAGTTACGCTACATATATTTCTCGCTGTCAATATTGTTTCAGTCGAGCGAAGAAGGAAAAAGAACGGGGAAAGAGGCGAGAATGCCATTCTATCCGGGGACAAATCCCAAATCATGATTTTTTTCCCATTAAATGAGGTAAAATGATTGTCGAGTTTGCTCCACGATTTTTCACAATATTCTTCGTTTGTCATGCGTTCAAACTATTTGCCTAGGGATGTAAATTGAAAAACCCTAGGTACGTCGAAAAATTTATTAATCGAATCGCAGCGGCCATTCAATTTCCCGTGAAACAGCGCGGAGCGAGGGTGGAGAAAGGAGGATGAAATACTGTGCCGAAGGGCATACGTTGACCCGGTGAACTCTATCCCTCGGCCTGCATGCTAACACCCAGTGCAGAGAGGCTAAACAAATGATAAAAAATAAAAAGTACAAATACTGATATTCTGGTATTTATACAGTGACTAAATCTCTCCCCTTTCCCGTTACAATATTGACGTGTTTTTGGACAGAGTTTGTGTTCTAAAATATTCCCGTCAACTCCCTGAATATTTCAGTATTTGTTCCTCATGAATTTCTCCTTTTTCCTCACTCTCTGCATTCATGAAATTCTGATAAAGAAAATGCAACCGAGTGAATCACCACCGGAGCACGGTGGAAACCACACTTGAAACTTTTCAAATCCACTTCTCCTCATTCGACATCCCATGTACACGGCAGTTTCAGCTTGTTAGTGAGGAGCCCCATTCGAAACTATGGTATCGGAGATACAGTGGCAAAATAGTGTTATACAAGGGAGCCGAGTTTGGGGTAAAACTGAGTCGTTATTCGGTAACCACGGCGAAACTTTAACCAAGGTGTTGGAGAAACTTCTTAGCATTGATACTGCTGTAGTTCACCGGTGGAAGACATTGAGCGAGAAATATGATGGAGCAAACAGGTTAGAAAAGTCAAGTCGTTTGATGCGGCAAGAGGGAAGTCATCTGTGTCGACAAAGCGCGAATAATTTGTCATCTACTATCTGTGATTTCAACCTGGATCAACAACTCAGTTGACTAACGAGAATATCTGTCGCCTTTTAAGCGTGAAAGATGAAGAAACAATTGACGCTGAATGACTTGCTGCAATTATAGGCGAAGCAGATGAGGGAACAAGCGTCTGAGGAAGGAGGCTGGATGTTTTGATGAAGTTCAAATGATTTTTCATCTACATTCGATGAATACAGTAACTTAATTTAACCACAAGAACCTTTGTTGCCTCCTAACTAAGAATGTGGATGGAAAAGCATGAAGCGTTTCAGGAAAAAGAAAGCGAACTGGCTTGTCTTATAATCTAACGGCTTGTCATCAACTTTCGATGATTTTCATTCGTGCTTATGACTTAGTTTGACTGTAAGAATCTTTGACAACGCCCAACGAAGAAAGATGACGCACGATACCAAATCGGAGTATTTTCCAAAATTCTGAGAAAGCAAAGAATTTCTTATTCCCGTGTTCCGATGATCTCCTACCTATTTCCGATGATTCCAGTCTGGATTAATGACTCACTCGACCTGCAAGCACCTTCGTCACCCCCAGGGGAGCAAGCCAGTTCTCCACAGTCGATATATCTTCCCCCCCCCCCCCC